TGTGTGGTGTGTGTGTGTGGTGTGTGTGTGTGTGGTGTGTGTGTGTGTGAGTGTGTGTGTGGTGTGTGTGTGTGGTGTGTATAGGCTCGTGCACGCTCAAGAGCCGTCCCTTCTCCTTGCGTGCTCTGGGTGAGTGGTTTTACTTCGCTCTCACCTGACCCCCACGGCTCCCGCTTGTCTGTGAGTCTTGGACGCTAAGCTTGAGTGACATCTCTCTGAACCCAGGCCCTGACAGCTGACTGCCCGTACAGCAAGGCGCTGGCCTGTGCCTCACTGTGTGGCTCCTTGTTCTTTTACCGCCTGACGCCGGGGGATCACACTTCCTTTCTGACGCCCCAGCTGTTCCCACTGACCTTCCCGGAGGCCTGGTCATGAGGCCTCTGACGTTTCTGTCTTTAGTTTTAGGCTCCAAAGGAAACGAGAGGGGACCACGCCTGCACCTCGCCCTCTTGCAAAGGCTGAGGTGCCCTCTGTGGGAGGGCGGAAGGTGGCACAGAGGGGCTGCCCGGGACAGGACAGATGCAGGGAGAGAAGGAAAGAGGCCAGAAAGCAGCCCTCCGGGTGCCCTCGTTCTGGGGGGGAGACAGTGAGGCAGGAAAAGCATTGCCAGGAGCCACGGGAGGGTCCCTGCACCATAGGCTGTGAGGGTGTGTGAAGTTCATGGGAAGGTGCCTGCAGACTCAGGACAGCAGTTCCAGGAGGATGGGGGGGGGGAGGGGGGCCTGAAAGCAGAAGGAATGAGTGGGTGAAGACCATAAGCATAACCCATTCTCCCTGTATTATGGAACGAAAGGAAGAGATGGCATTGACACGGAAAGCATATACAGAGGAGGGGTCTGGTGTGGCTTGCCACGGAGGGACATGTCGGTACCCAGAGAGGAAGGCCCTTACCGAAGGGAAGAGACCAGAAAGGCCAAAGACAGAGGCGGTCACTGACAAGGCCACGTCCCCGTGAAGGCGGAGCCTTGGGGATTCACATGGAGGGCGGGAGCCCTCGTATTAATGGAAGCAGCACGCCGTGCCCCTGGTGCAAAGCATGACAACATCGGGAAAACGCGGGTGGGAGCCATCGGCTCAGCCTAAAGGTGGCATCGAAACTATCCCCACATCGGAACCTTGCCAGCTTGGCCTCCGGAGCCCAAAGCAGAGACTTTTTATGAGAAAAAGAAAGAGGATGTGTGTGGTTGGCCTGCCCAGGTGCCGTAGGGCCTGAGACAACTTACTTATAGAGCAGCCTGGCAAGAGGAAGTGAGGGGGGAGAACACACACACACACACACACACACACACACACACCCTGAGAGCAGGCCTTTTCTTTCAGTCACCTCCAAGGACGAATGAGACAGAAAGTAAGAACAGGATGCTTGGGCCTTACAGGTGCTCCCCTCCCCTTCCCCCCTCCCTCCCATCACACACAGGCCAATGCTCCTGCTCCCTCTTCACCTGCTGCTCCCGCTCCTTGACAAACATGTAACAAAGCTTCCTAGCCAGTGCGGCAGGTTATGGATCTCCTCAGCCCCAGGAATGAGTGGGGTCTGGGGTCGGAGCCTAGAACCGTGCCAGGCCACTGTAACGTAAAAAGGCGCTCTGCTGTGTGCTGAACGAACGCCTCCCTGAATGCATTCATTATTATGTACATCAGGACCTGGCCCCTTGGCCCAGGCGGTTAGAGCATCCTCCCGCTGTGCAAAGGTTGCAGTTTTGATCCCTGGTTAGGGCGCATGCAAGAATCCACCAGTGACTGCATAAATACCGTATTTTTTCTGTGTTTAAGACACCCCCCACTCTTCCAACCCAAAATTTAAAAAAAATCAATATTTTAAACATTTTGCTGGTTTTCCTCTTAAGGCCTTTATCTTTTTTGGCATCTTAAGGAGCTGTTCTTCCTGTTTTATATATTTATTTATTTATTTATTTATTTATTTATTTATTTATTTATTTTATAGAGAGGAAGGGAGAGGGAGAGAGAGATTGAAACATCAACGATGAGAGAGAATCATTGATCGGCTGCCTCCTGCACATCTCCTACTTGGGGATCAAGACCACAACCCAGACATGTGCCCTTGACCAGAATCGAACCCAGGACGCTTCAATCCATAGGCTGACGCTTTATCCACTGAGCCAAACCAGCCAGGGCTGTTCTTCCTGTTTCCTCCGCTGTCTGATCACACACTCAGTGGGAGCAGGTCCAAATTGTCTCTCTGCAGCTCTGTGTCCATGCTCTTTTGCATAGCTGATTACATTCAGTTTCAATTTTGCAGAGTAAGACAACTGCTTACAGTACTTATCTTTTTTTTTTTAATATGTTTTATTCATTTTTTACAGAGAGGAAGAGAGAGGGATAAAAAGTTAGAAACATCGATGAGAGAGAAACATTGATTAGCTGCCTCCTGCACACCCGCTACTGGGGATGTGCCTGCAACCAAGGTACATGCCCTTGACCGGAATCGAATCTGGGATCCTTCAGTCTGCAGGCCAATGCTCTATCCACTGAGCCAAACCGGTTTTGGCCTACTCTCTCTTTGCAAGAATTTTCTTGCCTCATCTCCTTGCTGTGGTAGCATTTGACCTTGTCCCTCCTCTGGGGTCACCGTGGGGACGCAGTGAGGGAAGGGAAGGGACAGTGAGTCTGGAGGTGTTGATAGTTTTATTTAATGTGTTGTTGCATTCCTCCTTTGGGAAATCTTGGTATCACACGTTGGCGCTGGCCAGGTGCTCCAGTTTGGGAGGTCGGTTGGGGTGGCAGCAGGTTCTCCCCATTTCCTGGAGGTGTCTCTGCAAGCTTCCTGGGCTTGCCTGGCGGCCTGAACCTGGGGCTGGGGCCGGACCCAGGCAGTGGGAGGGAGGAAGTAGCCAAAGTCCCAGGCCAGCTTCAGGGATACTGGTAACAGTCCATTTCTCTGGTCTGGGCAATGGTTCCTCGGGGTGTTTGCCTTGTAATGATTCATTCATCACCTGATGGTCTGTGCCCTTTTTTTTGTATGTGTGTTATTCTTAAGTAAAAGTAAACTTTAACATTTCCTTTTGTATATTGACAGCACTCCAACCTTAACTGGAAGTTAGTGTCTCAACCTAACAGAATTATATAGCACTTCCACACTCTAAATATTGTGATATTTTCTTTTATTATTTTTAACAGTGTCTGTTATTTTATTATAAAGCTATATGCAAATTATAGGAAATTTAGAAAAGCATAAATGAGAAAATAATAATCTGCAATTTTACTACCCAGACAACTACTATTATTTTTTATTTATTTCTTAGTGTTCCATAGGTATACATTATATATATATATATATATATATATAGCTTGCAATAGTAGAGTCATTTTAAATTTGAAGTCTACTTTTTCCACTTAATATCTTGTGACTATTTTTCCATAATTAACTACACTTTGAAAATAAAAATTTTAATGCCTACAAAACATTTTTATGTTGAGTCATATGGTATTCATCTGCTCATTCATCCAACCATTCTGCAAATATTTGTTGAGCACTCACCATACCCCAGGAACAAAACAGACATGCCTGGCCGTTGTGGCTCGTGAGCAAAGGATGGGCTCATGAACAAGGAGGACGGGGTTCCGTTCCCAGTCAGGCACATGTCCGGGGTGTGGGCTCCATCCACAGTCAGGGGCATGCAGGAGGCAACTGATTGATTTTTCTCTCTTACCAATGTTTCTCTCTCTCTATCCATTTCTCTTCCTCTCTCAGTTTGCAAACTGAGGCGAGCTGCCACTAGTGCCAGGCTTGGGGCTGCTGAGCATGAGATATGGGGCATGCTGAGGCCAGATTCTGCTTGCTTGGGATTTGTGAACCTTGAGAGATTCTAGGTAAGTCCACAGCATGAGCCAAGGCAGGCCATTCGTATAGAAAGGCAGTGGGAAGTGGCTTGGGTGGGTCCAAAAGTTGGGTGGAGCAGAGTCTCAGGGAATCACCAGGGAGAATCAAACGATGTTGGCCAGGTTATAGAGAATCACGCATGGCTCTGGCCTGTGCGTGCAGCTGGAGGGCTTAGCGAGGGAACAGAGGCTTCTGTTAGCACTCTGCCTGGGAGAAAGCTGCCCCTCCAGCCCTTGCCCTAAAGCCAGGCAATTCAGTTCCTTCCATGTGCCCCTGGCACCCTTTGAGCTGCTGCCCCAGCACTGACGCTCAGAGTGAATGGATCCATCAGGAAGTCCATGTGCCAGCCCTTCAAGAGGAGCCCCTGGAACTCCAGCAGCTCTCCTTCTCCCTCAGCCACCACCCTCCCTTCCCCCTGGTGTTAACAGCCAGAAGTTAGGGGACTTCTCTTCCAGGTACTGGGACCCTTGGCTGGGGATCCAGTATGGGGGCTGGGACCCCTTGCTCCTCATGGGGGAACCTTCATGCCGCTGAGATAGCCTCCCCCATTTTTCACTGCCACAGCTGGTGTGGGACCAGCCAGTTGTGTCTCCACCCCTCCCACCAGTCTTGACGTGGCTTCTTCTATACATCCTCAGCTATAGGACTTCTTAGTTTAGCTGGGCTGTAGGCAGTTCTCCATGATGGTTGTTCTGCAGTTTAGCTGCACTTTTGATATGGTGAGAGGAGGTGAGTCCAGTGTTTATCTATCTGCCATCCTGACCAAAAGCCACATTATCAGTTCTCAAAAACTACAGTATAAAGCATTCTCTTCTTAAAAATTGGTTTCTTTTAAAAAACGTATTTTTATTGATTTCAGAGAGGAAGGTGGAGGGAGAGAAAGATAGAATCAATGAGAGAGAATCATTGATCAGCCGCCTCCTGCTCACCCACACTGGGGATCAAACCTGCAACCCGGGAAATATGGCAAGGTCTGTGACTATTAAAGAAACTTGAATCCCTAGTTTCTGTGTCTTTATTTTACTTTTCGGCTCACGGTGGCATGTTAATAAATATTTCGAATGGGTCATGTGTGAAAACAACGCGAAAAGACTATTGAGACTTTGGATGCAGATTTTTGTTTCTCTCTTCATGAAACTCAGAAGAAACGAATTTTCCTAGTGGAAAATAAAATCATCAGGTAGAAATGTCAAAAACAGGGAAGTGCCACCCAGACACTCCATGTCCTCCTCCCCAGCAAGCCCCTGTCCAGGAAGACAGGAAGAATTCAGAGCCACATATTTTCCCTTCCTTTTCAGAGAGGCGGGGCCCAGGATGCAGTCAGAGAATCAGAGCTCTTATTAATGACTGCTCTGTGGCAGCTAAACCAACCGAACAATCAGCTGCGCTGCTTGCTCCTCGACTCAGACAACTCTGGGCACAGAGCGTGTGCGGCGGGATGGAAATCAGCGTGCGTTCTTACCAGGAGCTGTGCTTCCCGGGACCTCACGTGAGTAACTCAGCCGTTTGGGGGAACTTGATCCTGGAAACCGCCGTGGGAAACAAAGAGGGGCATTGCCAGGGAGAAGAGGAGCGCTTGGCTTCTGACCCGATCGCATCCATCATCACTGCTAACTCGGGCTGGTCACTTTATGGCTCCTGCGTGTTTCTGGGTTGCTGTGCTGTAACGCGCGGTCTCCTAGCATTTCTAAGCTGAGCTGAAACCGAACTCTCCTTTACAGTCCTCCTGCTGTCGTCCAAGGAAGTGGATCTGCTCTTACTTTTTGAGCCATCTGCCTCATAAATGTCGTTTATTTCCAAAAGTGAAAGTTTGCTGCGACTCTTTTTATTTGCTCCTTTGCTTTTGAAACGTGGTACGTGGTACGTGGTACGTGGAGCTGCCTGGTTTGTGCTTTTTCTCCCAGTCCTTCAGCTACTAACTAACCATGTTAGGGAGGGGATTGTACTCACTCTGCGCTATATGGCATCCAAATTTCCAAATAAAATGGAAATTACCGTGCTTATCAGTATGTCAGATAATGTGCTATATTATATGGTCATTTACTTAACCCAAATTTTGTTGAAATGTGGAAATTCAGATGTTTTGGGAAATCATCATCACATTTCAATTTAGTGGTTATATGTGTGTGTGTGTGTCTGTGTGTGTGTATTCTATTTAAAAATGATCTATAGTTAAGGAATGTCTTATAAGCAACTTTTCAATCAAATATCATTCTTGCAATTATTTTCAATATGGTCTGCTTCTAGCTATACTGTTAAGCCTAATTTCAATTTGCCTCCTTCAATAAGGATTTATTTTTATTTTTTAGTTGCATTTGAACATACATTTAAATTCAAGGTCTGAACTTTAGGTTGAACTTCTTGTGTTGTTTTTTTTCTCGTCACGTCTTCAATAAAATCTAAAAAAAAAAAAAATGGTTGTTTCTAGTTACAAGGGTAATAGTTGCTCTGACTTCCATTTTTCAAGTGGCTGACTTTTTAAAAATGTGCCTTGAAGTGACCATTTCACCCACCTGCTGATATCTGGTGGTTCGATGCCCACATCAAGTCTGGAATACTGTGCATCGCCTGTAAGCTCTGTTCCGAGGTACCCTGCCACTCAATATATTTCAATATTCCTCTGCAAAACTTTCTTCTTGTCAGGCTAGTCCTCCCCTTTTCAGGATATTCTCGCCCCCTTCTTGTTCTCTTCAATCACACCCTGTTCTCTTCTAGGAAAATGCTCATTTAAAATCTAAAGTTGATAGGATTTTATGACAGACTGATTTGGGAGATAAAGGTGGAAAGGCCAGAATTCCTCCTCTGAGGATGATAACACCATTCACTGAGACTTAGAATGGAAAAAGCCCAAGTTTATGGAGAAGAAAAAAAAACAACTTCATTTTAGCGAGCAGATTGGATCACATCCGCAGGACGCTGCCTGCAAAGGAGTTGGATGTTTGCGTTTGGACGGAGAAGACTGGGCTAGAGGTTCAGATTTAGAAACAAATTTCACTGGTTGTGTTAGGCCATGCAAGTGGATGGGACCACACTAGATGTTCACTAAAATGAGAGGAAAGAAAGGCTAACTAGGCAATCCTAGGAAACATTAATTTTTAAGGAGATGTTTGAGGAAGTATATAGAGATTTGAGGTAGCTGGAAAATCAGGAGGTGTCATGGAAATCCAGGAAAAAGGAAGTTTCAAGAATGAGACGGTGACCAGAAGTGCGAAGAAGGGGTTAAGAGAAGGGAAGCTGGAGCGTAGGAAAGACTGGACATTTGGAAAAAGTGAGCTGGCAAAGAGGGCACATGCCAGGAAAGCACCGCCAGGTGGTACACACAAAGCACCATAAACTGACGTGTGCGGCTTTCCCAGAACTTCTCATCCTGTAAAAGTAAGTTTAATCACGCCCGAGAGGCCAACTGTCTGAGACTGAGATAACCGCTTTGTGTAGAGGATGGTAAAAAGAGCCCTGAACTGGCCAAGAGTAAATGTGTAACAGGCTGGGGGTCAGGGGCCTCAGAAAAGCTGGTGAGACAGGTAGGACAAGGAATGCAGTTGGGTGCCTGGGGCTAGAAGTAGCAATGGGTTTCCAAATAGATAGACAGTTTGGGAGAGGAATTATGCCTGATCACATATCTTTCTCTAGGGCCTCAATCTTGTGAAAATGCCCTTTAGGAGCTGCAGATTCAGTATGTCCCCATCAGAGCTCGTCTTCTGGCTCCTCCAGCCATCCGCACCTGCTTCCCCTTGCTTTCCGTCGAGAGCATTGCCAGTCACCCAGTTTTTTGAAGTAGAAACATCAGTCATTCTCTTCCAGCACCATCCCTTCTGCCATCAAGTTCTGTCCATTCTCTCTTCACTTTCTCATCTTTTGATTCTGTCCTTTCACTCATTCTTCATTTCCATGCCCATCACCTTAATTCAGGTCCTGAAATATCATTCCTAACTGGCCTCCCTTCTTCTTGTCCTTCCTCCTCTTCCCAACTCACCTTCCACAATTCTAATGAATTTAAAAAAATTCATGATTTAAAAAAAAACCTCCCAAATCTAGTGAGGAGAAAGTCTGACCTCTTTAACATGACTTCACTCAGGGACCTCACTGACCTGGCCTTACCCCACATCTTAGCTGCATGACCAGCTGCTTTCTGCCTCCACACATCAGTCTTAAACATCACCAAATTTCTCTTTGTTCCTCAACTCACCACGCTCTCTTACACTTGATTCGCTATAAAGATAAGCAACCTTGTTGTGCTACTAAGATCATTAGCTTCGGTGCTGGAGGAGGGGAGACAGGGGAAGTTGAATGTTAGTGAAATGGACTAGCAAGAGGGAAAAGAATGGTGATGGAAATGATTCTTTGATAAGAGTTGTGATCTCCTCATTTGACTCAATGCTTATGAGACTGTATTTCTTAACTAAGTCATGATTCAAGGATAAGGATATATCAGGGAGACATGTATACCTAACAGAGCTAACTTCACAACAGACATGGGACTTGAAGTCTGAGTAGGGTGTAAACAGCTGGAGGAATCGCCTTCTGATTGTGGGGAATGGCATCAACAGAGGAGGACAGCAACCTATTCAGGGCAGAAGTTCCTGGGGAGGGGAATAATGTTGGTAAGGCCAGGAAGAGGTCAGGGCATGATTGTTGGAGATTTTCAATGCCAAGGTTGACCCCCTAAGCCCATGGTCGGCAAACTGCCACTCGTGAGCTACATGTGGCTCTTTGGCACTTTGAGTGTGGCTCTTCCTGGGTGAGTCTATTTTGAAGAAGTGGCATTAGAAGAAGTTTAAGTTTAAAAAATTTGGCTCTCAAAAGAAATTTCAATCATTGTACTATTGATATTTGGCTCTGTTGACTAAGGAGTTTGCCAACTGCTGACCTAAGTATAGTTTACCCAGCAGGGAATGGAGAGACACGGAAGTTTTTCTTAAGCAAAGCAATGACTTCGTGTAAGCAGGCTTTTAAGTAGATTAATCAGGCAGTAGTGTGCAGGACAGATTAGAAAAGCAGGGAACGCAGGCTGGAAGAGCAAGAAGTATAGTAATCTAGGTCTGAGATGCCATATTTGCTTAGTTAAAAGAAAAAACTCTACATTAAATGTGTCAATGATTAAAAATAAATCTTGAGTTTAGGTATGTAAAATCTCAAAAATATAGACCTCTCAGAATTAAAGAAACAAGAAGATGAAGATCTGAATGAACTAAGGTGGTGATGTTAGAAATGGGAGGGAAGAGTAGAGGCCAAAAACACTCCCACAAAACACATTTTGAAGAATTCGAGAGATTGAATGTTACAATTTAGAGAGAGAAAGAGAGACCAAGAGAGGGAGGAGAGAATATTACAATATGACTCCATGATTTTGAGTTTGAATGAAAGTGGCAAGGGATGCCATTAAGAGAAATGGGGAAGTCAAGAGGAAAAACACCAAACTAAATTTTATATATTGAGTCTGAGGTGAGGAAATGTCTAGCAGGCAATGGAAATGATGGACCCAGAACTAGAATGCGTATACAACCAAGGAAGTATCTACACAGACGTCAAAATGGAAGACTTGAAAGTGAAAGACATTCCAAACGGGTGTATATAGAGGACGAGAGGCAGAGGTGTAATCCTAAGGGACTGGCCACATTTAGGGACAGGAAGCAGGGTAGGGAAGAACAACAGGAGTGATTTGAAAGGCTGAATTAGATTCACTCCAGAGGAGGGAATGAAAGACATGAGAAGAGAGAGGTGGCCCCCTTTTGTTCGTGCTTTGGACGTACGGACATTAATTATGTATCGTTGGCTGTGTCTTGAGCATTCAGAGGTATCAAGAAGCCCGCATCAGCACTCCAAAGGAATGGCATGAGGGACCCCATCTTCACTGTTCGCTGGAGGCCGAATACTAACTGACTGGACCAGCGCCTTGGCTGGCTCCTGGCCTGTGTGAGAAAGCACGAACTTTCCCAAAGGCTACGGCTGGTACTGAATGCTGCGGACCTCAGCCGGATCCTTTGAAGCCCGAAAGAGCATAGTACTTCCTACATAACTCCGCCGCCGCCCCACTTTGTCCTTTCCTCCCCACGTAACTCTTTAATGAGCAGTTATTTTAGAACACAATTTAGTTGACCCAACATTTTATAACAAGAGCCAAAGTTAAAGGCAAACTCGTTTTTAACACTTTTCCTGTTCTGCTGGATTTGCTGGGCCAATTAAACTTTCTGAACTCCTATTAGTCAGGGATGACTGGACACTCTGGCTTACCTCATTTCCTTAGCAGGTAGATAGGTAATACAAGTATTTACCGGTTTAAAATATAATGCTTGCATAACCCATAAAATACACTTAAAAATCCCAACACAGCCATTGCATTTATTTGTACTTTTGTTCTATGACTGGGAAAGCTAGCACAGGGACAGCTCACCACCACAGGTGCTCTGAAAAGCTGATCGGCTGATTTGATAAACTGATTAATAATTGGGGATATGAACAGTGTTGAAATACAAATTTCAAAAAAGGCTT